CGCCCCGCCCCGTACCATTAGGGAGACATGTTTGGATACATCTTGGACATCACCGGAGGCGTTGCCGCGTCAGCGACAAGTTTCGTGCTCCCAGGCCTCATCTACCTAGGGGCCACCGGCGACAGGGAGGGGAGGGGGGGGGGGTGGCCCCGCTTCGAGGGCAGGGGCCCCGGGGGGTGGGGGAGCGGGGGGGGGGGCCAGGGTGGGCGGCTGCGGGACGTGGGATTCTTCCGCCTGGCCTGCAAGGGCTTGGTGGTGTTTGGCGTGCTGGTTATGGTTTTGGTGCCCATTGGAGTCGCCGTAGATATCGCGGGCTAGATGTTAGTGGATGGGTGTACTGCGCGGTGCATGGATGTGCCGAGTGTTGCATACCACGTTTTTAGGATCTTGACTGTTTCACTGCTGCTATGCTGTCTTGTGTGTGGTGCTGTGCTCTGTTAGTGCAGGTCCCGTGCCACTTGTTGGAAGGTGAATGTAAAAGCTGCAAAATGTTTTATGTGTTTTTGCTTGCGGTGTTTCGTGTGTTATGAAGCGCAAGCGGTCGAGACACGTCCCACCTGAAAATAGGTGATAGTTTTTGGCTCCATTGGTGGAGTGAACCAAACGCCATGAAATTGTTCTATCTTCAGCGCTTGTCCTCGTTCTATTTAGCTTCTCTCTCCCTTCTTCTGCCCCCCGAACTGCTGTACACAAGAAACGAGGCGTGGTTACCGCGTATCAGTACAAGGCTGGATCGCTGGGCGCGTTCGACTTGCGCTGTTTTGCGCGACTCAGCGAGACCGTTGTGTGGAGGTTGCGAAGTTGTCTTCGGTTGTAGGCAGGCCCTGCCCCTACCGTATTGAAGGTCTCTACCTCGAGTTGTGAATATGTTATGAATTTTTGTGATGCTGCTGTGATTGGGCAAGTGTTCGAGAGAGAGGTCAACCGAACATGCGTATGAAACCGAAGTATGGCCTTGCGTCAGTTCGTCCTGCCGAAAAACATTCGAAATCGGCCAAAACGTCCACGACGAAACAGGGGTGCCCTCTTTGTTCATCTAGTTGGTTCTGTATCCTCTGAACCTTCCAGCGGCCAGTCACGGGTTCGAATCTCGGCGCAAGCGAGCTTCCGTTCCTGGCCCAGGTGGAAGTAACTAGTCGGTGTGTGCACTTTTGAGGGAACAGGGTGCTGCCTCTAGTGCTGCTGAACTCCTCGGGTGAATAATCGATCGCAAGCATCGCAGGAGCGGTGGGTAGGTAAGGGGAGGAACCCTTCTGTATGACACGGATTGGAACTCCTACAGTACCTGAGTACCTGACAGAAATGCTGTGAGCGCTGGATTAAGTAGTGGTGAACGAAACCAAAAAAAAAAGTTGACAAGTGGTACTGGTTTGGTGGGTCGAAAGGTGATGGTGGTGCACGAGCCGGCTGCTGCTTTTGATTATGTGCTTCATGAAATGACCACGCAGCCACACCGACATCACGCGAAAACGGCGGAAGGTCGAAATTTCGCGTACTGGGATGAGCGAAAGCTCTTGCGCAATTGCGTCAGACAACAACAGCAATACCTACCTCATCGTCCGATCAGATACTCGGGTGGCTTGGAGACAAGCGTTCCGCTTCGAAAGGCGCGAGTTTCACGATGATCTAGCATTTGAAGTGGCCACTTCTGGGCCCTTTTTTGTTTCCGGATGTGCCGTTGGGGCCGTTGGCCTGTGGCCATGCGCGAGAGATGATGCGAGCATTCCCGTGTTAAACCAAACAAAAATAAACGAGTGCCGCCAACACGATGATGGTGACATCACAAAACACAACAACTAGTGCCCCTCCCCGTCGCGCTCGTGCGAGCGAGCTCAAGCCTGTGTGTCCTCAATCAATTCCGGAAACCCGCTACTGCAAGGAACGAATGCTACTTGAAGGGTGCATTTATGTAAATTATTTTTTCGTCGCGTGCCGACAAAGGCAACACGCGCACGCCTTGACCCTCGCACACAAACACACCCTGCAATGCACTCGAAGCAAATATGGTACCCGGCACACGTAGCTAAAACGCCCGTGTTGCTACAGGCCCCGAAGTTGTCTACTGCGCTATGCGCGGATGTTGGCACCCGCCCAAAAAACCATACCAAATCGTCGTCCTCGAACCGACCCCGCCACCGTACTGTATATGTCAGTGTTCCACCACCACACATACAGCCAAAGTTATTACTTGTACAATATACAAGACCATACCGCGGTCCGCCACCAACGCATCCAAATACCACAAGTCCCTCGGGCACGCCACAAAAATGGAACCGTTCGTGTTGAGTACCGCACTCTTTCTGAACTGGCGTGGTACAGTGGGGGGTCCTCAACAAAACGCCAGTAGGTGCCCGGTGCATCGACCAGCGCTTTCAGAAAGGAGCGGCGCCATTCAAAGTACACAACACTTCGTGATATAATCTGACCCCAGCAGCTTCACAGGCAAAATACAGGGCCATGGGGCGCAAATCAATCGGCGTTGTTGACGGCCCCACACTGTATGGTGCAAGACAGGCGAGGTGTTCTTCACGACGGTAGAGTCCAGGGAAGGCGCCAGGATGTCCCCTCACCATCTCTGCTTCCACCTTCCCGCCGCCTCCATTCTTCACAAGGCCGTGTGCCTTTCCCAAGAGGATCCTCACGTCACCGCAAGCTCGCCCTCCCACATCCCTGCGCATCTAAGACCACCGGTAGAAACATGCTTGGCTTAGAATAGATAGTTGGGGCGCTTGCTGTGAATTTTCGAGAGAGCACTACGTACGCGTGTATTTGCTCTGTGAAACTGTCAACAACACACGGAGTAAAAAAAAAACAAGGACTAACAAAGGAGACAATGCTCTGCAGGCTTTCTTCCTGGGCTCCATGAGCGACATGCCGCGCGTAATGGTGGTCAAGGTGGCCCGAAAAATCCAGCCACCCCCGCTACAAAGACGCTCGGTCCTGTTATGCAGGCGCACAAACACAACAAAATTTCCAGAGCAAGGTTGCTGGGGAAACTAAAAAATATGGGGGGAAGGGGGTGACCTTAGAAGACACGTCCTTCCCGGTGTTCAAGACGCTTCTTAAGAAAAAATGCAACCAGCGCGTCTTTCAAGCGTGGACCGACTGTACTTGAATGAGTCGCATGCCTCAAATACACTCAAGGGAAGCAAGTACTGGCCGCCTCCCGCGCTGTCTGCCATCCAGGGTACGCTGCCTTCAAGGGATACGCTACCTGTAGGAGAAACTCTTATTTGCTATTCTCACACCGAACGAGGCCTCTTGAACCCAAGCGAGACAAGACCGTCAGGGGTTCGGAAAATTGCGAGCGGCGAACGCCGCACAACGGGGAATCGCCCGCACAACCTAGCTTCAAGTGTTAGACTAGTAAGGACAGATTGAGGTACTGGGTAGGGAGAACGCTTATAAATGTCAAGACAACAACAAGAAACCCAAAAAATAATATTTATATCATTAATGATACGGCTACCGTTATACTACTGGCGCCCTTCACGACACGCTCGTTTTGGTGAGATTGATGCCCTCCTATCCTCCAACGAATGGATCATCAACGCCCTTTCCGTCGCGGTACACCAGCAGCTGAAATCGTGTACAGAGAGACACACCTTTCTAGGCGTCCCGCAGCCTCTCCATGGGTCGGTAGGCGTCATCTTCTTGACGCATAGCGGCCTCGTACGGTGCCCACCTGGCCTTCTCCTCTTCTTGGGCCCTGGGGGCCATGGAGGGGTGGGGCGGGCGTGGGGGGGGCGCGGAGGTCAATCTACATGCTACGGTTGTCGTTTCTGCTTCTGCTGGTGGTACAACGAGCGTCGCCGTTGTTTGCTGCTGCTGCTGCTGGTTTGGACACGTGATCCTCAACGTCATTCCGTCTACAATCTCATTTACCAAAAGGACTTTGGTTTAGGCAGGCTGCTACCTGCCTTTCCCCCTTCCCTCTCTCAACTACTAGCTGTAGAGAAGACGAGAAAAGAGGGGGG